AAAAAGGCTGGGATGTCCAGTGAGTGGTCTTGTCTGCAAAACAGATTGCTATGGCCCTTGGAAGGTCTGCTCAACTTGACTGCTGCTCCTGCTCCTTGGTTGAGTGGCCACTGCACCCTCACATCCCATCCATTCAGCACAAGGACCAGGCCAAGAGAGGCGGCTATGCAGCACACACATGGTGAGGTGGGATGGGGCTGTCATTCTTACCCTATCATGCTCCACTCGTGGAGTGTGTTAGCTCACCTGCCTGGTCCTCTGTCACCGGTGGTGGTGGTGAGGATTGTTCTTTGTTTTGATGAAAATGACCACAGTCATGCGTCTAGCTTTGTGGTCTCTTTCACAGTTGCCTCCACATTCTTTAGCTCATCACAATAACCAACGAAGTGCTAGCATGTCCATTTCATCAACAGGAAAATACAGACTGGGGACATTCAAGAAACTTACGTAAGACTGACAATGCAGAAAGGAACAGAGCCAGAACCTACCAAGGCTCCCAAATACAAATTCTAAGCTCCTTCAAGTCATAGAGGAGTCACTCTATAAAGTGCCTGCCCCCCCAAATGCCCCAGAACCTCATGCCCCTCCCCAGTGGCATTTCTCCGACCTAGCTTAGATCAACACTAGGGTTTCCTTTCAGCCTCTCCTCTCCTAACTTAAAATCTCTGTCCTTTCCCCTTCCTATAGCCCGAGCTCTGTAAACAGCAGTCTTTTGTAACCTATACGACGACACTTGTCTTCCTTTACAGCCCTTCCTACGATATCTTGTCCATATCATCACATATATATTCACTATTTTAAAGCTCAGCTCTATCTGTAGGAGGAAGTACTCATCTATAACACAGGTGTAGTGTGAGAAAAGAAGTCATCCATCACAGCTATTTTAACAGCTGTTTAGTGATGCGGTAGGCATCAATGTAGGACTGTGGGTGCACTTTTACTCTCACCACCCACCCCTCATATTCTGGGTGGGGTTTTTTAAATTCCACATATAAGTGAGATCATACAGTATTTGTATTTCTCTGTCTGACTTATTTCACTTAGCATAATGCCTCTAGGCCCATCCATGTTTTTGCAAATGGCAAGATTTCACTCTTTTTTATTGTTGAATATTCCACATATGTGCCACATCTTCTTTATACACCCACCTATTGATGGACACCTAGGATGCTTCCATATCTTGGCTGTTACTAGTAAAGCTGCAATAGACATAGGGGTAGATATACATTTTCAAATTAGTGTCTTTGTTTTCTTCATATAAATACCCAGAAGTGGAATTGCTGAATAGTATGGTAGCTCTATTTTTAATTTTTTGAGGACTCTCCTTACTGTTTTCTATAGTGGCTGCACAAATTTACAATCCCACGGACAGTGTTTAGTCCCATTTGTTTATTTTTTCTCTTGAATCCCTTGCTTGAAAAGATACGTCAAAAAAGATATTGCTAAGGTCAATGCCAAAGAGTTTACTGCCAAAGAGTTCCTAGGAGCTTTATGGTCTAACATTTAAGACTTTAATCAATTTTGAGCTTAATTTTGTATATGGTGTGAAAAAGTGGGCGACTTTGTTGCATGTATCTGTCCAGTTTTCCCAACACCAACTATTTAAGACTGTCTCTACTCCATTACACAGGGGCTGGCAAAAGTAGGTTTATAGTTGTGAGTACACGAAACACAATTTATTCTTGCATTATTAATTAATAGGTATCTGCATGTCTTTTTCCATACAAACAACTGTGAACCTACTTTTGTCCACCCCAGTATACCCTTGCTTTCTTTATCATAGATTAACTGACCATCTAAGTGAGGATTTATTTCTGGGCTCTCTATTCCATTCCATTAATCTTTATATTGTTTTTTTATGCCAGTACCATACTGATTTGATTATTGTAGGGTTGTCATACTTGATATTAGGGATTGTGATACCTCCCGATTCATTCTCTCTCAAGATTTCTTTGGCTATTTGGGGTCTTTTGCAGCCCCATATAAGTTTTAGGAGTAGTCTTAATTCTAAGAATGCCATCGGTATTTTAGCAGGGATTACACTGCATCTGTGTATTACTTTAGGTAGCAAGGACATTTTAACAATACTAATCTTTCCAATCCATGAGCAAGGTGTGTCCTTCCATTTCTTTGTATCCTGCCCAATTTCTTTCTTTAGTGTCTTATAATTTTCACAGTACTGACCTTTTAACTCCTTGGTTAAATTTATTCCTAGCTATTTTATACTTTTTTTTTTTTTTTTTTAAATCCTCACCAGAGGATATTTTTTCTGTTGACTTTTAAAGAGGGGGAGAGGGAGAAACATTAATGTGTTCCATGGAGACTGGCTGCCTCCCCCATGGACCCCTAGCAGAGTGGGAATCGATCCTGCAACCCAGGGACATGCCCTTGCCCCAGAATCGAACCCAAATGACCTCTGGCGAGCAGGCCCATGCTCTAACCGCAGCGCCACGCCAGCCAGGGCAGGTATTTCACACATTTTGACGCCCCCGCGATGGAGCCGGTGTCTTAGCTTCTGCGCATGCGCGGTTGCTGCCCTGCCACGCAGCCGGTTCCACAGACCGCGCGCCCCGCAAACTTGCCAAGTCACGTGTCAGCTCTAAGTTTTCGGGGAGCCTTCGGGGGGTTCTGTGCCCACGACCCTGCCGCCCGCAAAGAACGGCGGCGTCCCGTCTTCCCTTCGGGCCTGGGCGCCTCTGCGCCTTTTCCGCGTCCGACCGCGAGGCCGGGGCGACCCTGCGGGGACCG